GCGCGGGGCGGCCCCTGGGGGCCCCCCGACGAAAAGTACCCTGGCCGATCCCCGGCCGGGTCCCGGGCGATCCCCAAGGGGGAGGCTATTTTTCGCCACCCCTCAAGAGGATCGTGGCCTCCGATGGGGTTGGCTGCAATCGACTACCCCCCCCCCCGCCCCAAGGGGCCCTCAAGAGCCCCCTAAGAGGCCCCAGGGGGGCCCAAGACGCCGCCAGGGAGCCCCGAAACGCTCCCAAGAAGCCCCCAAGAGGCCCCCAAGACGGCCCCAAGAGGCCCCAAATAGCGCTCCAGGGCCGGCGGAATGAGCGAAGCGATTAAATAGAGGGATTCCCAATAGTTTCCAATATATTCTGGGTTTCTTTCTTCCCCCCCACTTCCAATTGTTTCCCATATGTTCCTGGGAATCGGCGATTGACTCATTGTGTCTGTGTGTGTTGTTCCCCTCCTGACTTCTGCGAAGCTGCCGGACCATGTCCCAGCGACACGTGAAGCTTCCTCCTGCCTCCTGCCTCCTCCTCCTCCTCCTCCTCCTCCTCCTCCTCCGCTCCTCCTCGGCTCCTCGGCTCCTCCTCCTCCTCCTCCTCCTCCTCCTCCTCCTCCTCCTCCTCAGAAGGCGGCGGGGCTTCTCGGAAGGCGCGAGGGCTCCTGCGAAGCCCCGCCGCCCTCCGACCAGGCCTGCCGCCCCCTCTCGCTTCCCCCCCCCCCTGGGCTCGCCGCCGACCCCCCCTGCGGGGCGGAGATGTTTGTCCAGCACCACCGCCCGCGGATCCACCTTCGGGGACCTCTCGGCCCCCCCAACGCGGATCTTCTCCGAGGGGATCTCCTTCGGGGAGCTTCGGGGGATCTCGGCCCCCCTTCGGGGGCTCTCGATTCCCGAGGATGGATCCAGCTCGGGCGTTGGCAGAGCTGGGTCTCCTGGGACCTGGTTCAGTGATGTGTACGGGGGGACGCCCTCCCGCTCCGTGCCACTGGCCGGAACTGCCGTCACCCGAAAAAACACCAACCACGGCACACCTGGTTCAGTGATTCTGGCCAATTTAGGGGCGCTCCAAGGCCCCACTACTAATCGGGTCCCCTTACCTGGGGTCCTGGCGACAGTCGGGCTGCTGAAGTAAGGAACGCTAAACAAGGAACGAAGCCCCTCTGTGGCTTCAAGAGAGCCTGGGTGCACGAGAAGGGCTAGAGGAACAACCACGGAAGGACGCGAGGAACGCCGAGCCCCTTCCGAATCCAAACTGTTCCTTATCTCAGCGCCTTGGCTGCAGTCCCGACCGACGTCCCCGGTCCGTGGACCGATGTGTGGGGAACTCCACGGCCGCTGGCGGACGGGCCATGCCCCGCCCCTCTCCCGCCAGGACCGAGGCGCGGAGGCGCGGAGGCGACGCGTGCGAGCAGCCATATGGGTACGAGATCAAAGCACTGCTGCATTGTTCACGCCATGCTGCACACTTGAAGGGGCCCTGGGACACACACACACACACACACACAAACGCAAGTGCACACAAATAAAAAGGATTCCCCATAGTTTCACACATGTTCTGGGTTTTTGTCTCCCCCCCCACTTCCCATCTGTTCCTAAATTTTCTGGGAAGAAATCGACGAGTCATTGCGTTTGTGAGTTTTTTCCCATGCATCGCCGGCAAAACCACTTGCCCACCCGGGAGCCCGAATCTATTCATATTACCGCCTGCCGAGGTCCCCCGAGATCGATCCCGCAGCGGTGGTCGTGGGCACATCCGTACCTCGCATCTCCCCCCCCCCCCCCAGCGGCCCGCCCTGCCGCTGGCAGGTGCGAAGGGCAGCGCCCGTGAGGCAAAGGACGGTGCCGACGAGGGAGCGATGCGGGGGAGGACTGGCAAGCAGTGAGCATACAGTCGGTGCGTTGACCTAAGAGAGAGCGTGATCCACCGCCGCTTTACTGTGGAAAATTGCCAGCCTTTTCCTCCGGAGCCCAGGGGTCGCCCCCCCCCCCCTCCGAAAATCCCCCCCCCCCTGCTGGAACCCCTCCCCCCCCCCCTCCCCCGGCAAAACCCCCCCCTCCCCTAACCCCTCCCCCCCCCCTCCCCCTCGAAAACCGGGGGGGTCACTACCGGTTCGAACCCCTCCCCCCCCCCCCCCTCCGGATCCGGAAAACCGAGGGGGGTCACTACCGGTTCGAACCCCCCCCCCCCCCCCCTCGAAAACCGGAGGGGGATCACTACCGGTTCGAACCCCTCCCCACCCCCCCCCACTCACCGCCAGCAAACGACTCCCGGTCCCTACCACCGTCCGCATCACATCCTCCACTGTTGTTCCCAGCACCACTGTCCTCACCACCACTGTCCCCACTGTGTCCCCACCAGTGCCCCCACCACTGTCGCACTGTCCCCACTGTCCCCACCACTGTTCCCACCACGGTTCCACTCTCCCCACTGTCTCCACGGCCCCAACCACTGCCCGACTATCCCCACTGTCCCCACTGTCCCACTGACTCCGCCGCTGTCCCACTGAGCTGTCCCACTGTTCCCACCACTGTCCCCACTGTCCCCACCACTGTCCCCACTGTACCTCTGTCCCATTGTCCCACCGCCGTCCTCGCCACCGCCTTCACCACTGTCCCCACCACCATTGTACCCTCCACTGTCCCATTGTTTCCACCTCATTCCCACTGTGCCCACACCACTGTCACCACCACCACCGTCCCCACCACTGTCCACTGTCCCCCCTGTTCCCACCATTGTCCTCACCACTGTCCCCACCACTACCGGCCCTCTACTGTCCCACTGTCCCACTGTCCCCACCACTGTCCCGCTGTCCCCTCACCACTGTCCCACCAACACCGTCCCCACCTCTGTCCGCACCCCCACTGGGTTTTCGAGGGGGGGGGGGGGGGTTCGAACCGGTAGTGACCCCCCCCCCTTTTCATGATGAGCTGGGGGGGGGGGGGGGAGGGGTTCGAACCGGTAGTGACCCCCCCCGGTTTTCCGGAGGGGGGGGGGAGGGGTTCGAACCGGTAGTGACCCCCCCCGGTTTTCCGCCAGCAGCGGTAGAACACGCTCTTTCTGACCTAAGGAACCCTAAATAAGGAACGAGGCCCCTTTTCTTCAAAAGTTAACCTTCGATTTCCCATCGAAAACATAAGGAAAGCCTGAGGCAAACTGTGAAACACTCAAGGAACACGGAGCCCCTTCCCAACGAAAAGGGTTCCTTCTTCAAAGCCCCGCCTGTAAACGCTGAATCCCTCCCTCCCCCCGCATCCTCCTCCGCCCCGCCCCCGTCGCCCGCCCCCTGCTTCCCGTCAACCAAACCCAGAGCGCCGAGGAATCAAGCCATACACCTCGCTTCGGAGGCATCCCCGAGCCGCCCGAAGCCAGCTGGGAAGCACCTGTGCGGGCAAGACTTGTGACCACATCCACTGCAGCTTGAATTTTCGGGCTCACTTCCCCAGAAACCCGAGGTGCACCGGATATGGATCACGTCTGGTCCCCACAGGCTAGACTTTCATCAACATCCAGTGGGCCTCGGCCGTGCGGCGACCCTTCCAAGACAGTCCAAGACGCACTGGACACGAGCATCTATCGCCCGCAACCCGGGGCCTGCGAGCTGTGGGGGCGGGGATGAGTCCGCCAGCCCCCTTGGGGACACCAGGCTGTGAAGAGTGATGCTTGACTGCTGTCGGGGTGCACTGTGTGCTGTGGTTTACTCGTGCCTCTGGTCTCTCCACTCCCGTCTTACTTCTAGTGTCCACCAAGGGCGTCCGACCGTTCAACAGAAAGCCCCTTGGCAAGGTGTCCCTCAACCTCGTGGACGTCCTGGGTCTCTGGATTGTCCCAGAACTCCCATAGGGACGCCACCTGATGTCACGGTGGGCCAACGAGGCCTCCAGGACGGCCCCAAGAGGCCCCGAAGATAGCCTCAAGAGCCCAAGACGGCCGACGTTGCCCCAAGAAGGCGCGCAGGTCGCCCAGGACCACCCGTCGATGCCACAAGATCGCGCCAGGATGCCCCCAAGATGGGCCATCTGAGGCCTCTAAGATAAGCCCAACAAGATGGCCCGAAAGTGGCCTCGGGACACTCTCAAGATGCTCCCGAATGGGGAGACCAAGAGGTAATCTGTACTGCCACTCCCCGGACCTCTCCCAGGGCGCGTTCTGGCCAGGATCTCGAGGCGAATCCGGCGCTGGCGGCGAGGGCCTCCGAAAAGGGCCCCCCGCAGGGGACAACAAGGGACGGGCAGAGAGGTAGGGGCAGACCTGCTCCTCCACTGAGAGGTGGCCCGAAGGGGGCCTCAGAGGACTCCCAAGAGGCCCCCCGAGAGGCCCCACAAGGTTGGTCGGCGTCGGTCTTGGTCGACGTCGACTCGTGGAGCGTCCTCGCGGATCGGTGACGGCATACATGGACCGTGACCAAGATCATGGTCCCCGTCTCTCCCCCCTCGAGCAGACGCATCGCAAGAGGCCCCCGAGGAGGCCCCAGAGACTGGCCCCTCCCGAGAGGCCCCGCGGGAACGCGGGGGGGGGCCAGCGGCACCAGGCGCCGCCCTTTCCCAGACCCTCTGGCGAAGAGGTAGGGCGACGAGGAGGGGCGGAGGAGCAGGAGGAGATTGGGGGAGGAGATTGAGGGAGGAGGAGGCGGAGGAGGAGAAGATTGAGGAAGGAGGAGGAGGAGGAGGAGGAGGAGAAAGACGAGGACGAGGGGGAGGAGGAGGAGGAGGAGGAGGAGGAAGAGGAGGGGGAGGAGGAAACAGAGGAGGCGAAGGAGGAGGAGGAGGCGGAGGAGCAGAGGGAGAGATGGAGAACCAAAACGTGTGCTGAAAACGAAAGCAAGTACAGTCGGATTTCATTGGAGAGGAAACGCGAGAGGACACAAGACCCTTCCGAAGGCCACATCGCCATTAGAGTGTAAGAAGGCAAGTGTCGCGAGGCACAGGACACAAGGGTACCCTTGAGCTGGCAAGGTCGACCTACTTATCCGGGCCGACTGCAAGGAGCCGAACTCTGTACACCGACGCCTTTTGTTCTGGCGCCGCACTGGAACTCGCAAAAAAAAGCGGATCCTGGAGTATACGGGATCCTGCTGTATACACGTTTCGTTGCTTCCACGGGGCAACGGGGACAACAAAAATACACCACACCACCTCGCCGTCGTCCCCGAACCTTAAAATATGTCCTGGGATTGAACGCCAGCCCGCCACTGGTAATGCATCTGCTCCAAATTCCGAACAAGGTTCTTAGAACATAATGCCGGCATGTGTAAACACAACTGTCTCAACCAAAATGTTCTGAGAACACGTCGTGCAAGTCAAAACAAATCTTGGAACATTCTTGAGCGGGCCTATTAGGAAGCCAAGACGCATCTTCACTGCTGGAAGGAAACGACGATGAGAGGAGGCCGAAGATGATGACTGGCTAGCCAACTAAGCAAGCCCCATGGACCGTCTTGGTGGTCCGGAGGTGCCCGCCGTGCGAGATGGCCTCGATCGTCATTTCCTGGGAGATCCCCAAAAGGAGAGAAGGACCAAACGGAAGGGGAGAGAAGAACAGTGAGGGGCCACAGGCAACTTGGAAGGTGCGAGCGTCGGATCTCCACTGGAACCGTCCCTACATGGTAACTATGTTTTCTTCTTTTGTATCGGGACACGCGTGCGAAGACGAATAACGATATTTAGTCTCTCAGAATGTAAGATGACGTACTGGTGCCACGGAAGATCATGAATAACGTCCACACGGTTTGAGCGTCATCTCCAGTGTGCTGTATGGAGAGATGACAATTACCATGCATAACGCATGGTTCAACACCGCCGAGCACATCACGGCATAACAGTATTCTGCAAGAAACCGTTTCATCATTGCATAGCATTGAATTGCTTGCGTTGGCGTCACATGGCGTATCACAGCACCGTGCACCTCAGCATGCTGTAGCACAGCAAAACATGACATAGCAAAACACAGTAATCCTATAAGTGGATATCATGGCGCAGAACGGCGTATCGACCATTAACAAATCGTAGACGTGACGACCAAAACACGACAGATTATATCACGCCACCAGAAAGCAACGCATGCGACATGTGAAATGGTGCGCCACGGCATAGTAGCATGGCATTGCATGCCACATCAATGCAAGCCTGGTCGTAGCCTTAATTACTATTATTAGCGCTGGGGGCGTTTCCTCCCCGTTGAAAACTGTTCGTGTTGCGGTGGGCCAAAACATTCAAATAACGACAACACAACACATGACAAACACGACACCGGACGGACCCAAAACGAACGAAAACCGGCAACCCAAAACAGAACACACAGGCAACCCAAACCAAACAACAATTGGCAGGCAAGGGAAACATAACAACAAACAAGCGGCATTTAAAACAGAACGCGTATCGCAAAACAAACCGAAAACGGCCAGACTGCAATCCCAAAACACAGAAAGCACGGCTCCCAAAACAGAAAGCAACGCTGACCTTGAACATGAAAAAAACAAACAACGCTCCCAACGTTTTTAAGAACATGCGCGAAATCCGGCACCGTGCCTGCACGGAGTGGGCGTGTTAGAATGCGGGAGGTTTCGCAGAGTTTCGAGGGACACTATCCCCCCCCCTCGTCGCGCACGCCCCTAACAGCAACGGTCCTTCTGAAATTGCTTTCTGGCTGTCTGTTTGGCCTTCAGGCGTCCAATATGGCCTCCAAGACAACTACCAAGGCAACCAAGACGACAACGAAACGGCTCAGAATGGCCCAAAACAGCTCAGGCGCCTCTCAAGAGAGCCTCAAGACGCCTCAAAATGCCCCACGAGGGCCTGACGACGGCCCGAGAGGCCCCAAAGACAGCCCAAGAGAGCTCCAAGAGGCCTCCCTAGAGAGACCGAGGGGGCCACAATCATGGATGTTCCGTAGGTTGTCGAAGGATTGCGAAGTTCACGCCCGTGCTCGGGTGTCCGATCCCCCAAGACGCCCTAAGAGGCTTCCAAGAGGCCTCCAAGATAGCTCCAAGACAGCCGAGGAGGCCCCCAAGAGGGCCCGAAGTCGGCCCAAGAGGACCCAAAGATCGCCCAAGGGGCTCCCAAAGAGGGCCCCCAAACGGCCTGGAAGCGATCCAAGGGAGCACCAAAACGGCCTAGAAGGCCCTCTTGGGACGTCTTGGGTGGTCGGGAACCTACACATGCCAGAACCTCGAAATCCTTCGACATCTTCACTGATGAATGATAATGGAGACAAGCCCAAATCAGAATTTTCTTAGGGCGATAGGGCTAGGGTGCTATAGGGCTATAGGGCTATAAGACTATGGGGCTATTGTGCCATATGGCTATAGGGCTATATGGCTATCGGGCTATAGGGCGATAGGGCTATAGGGCCATAGGGCGATAGGGCTATCGGGCTATAGGGCTATAGGGCTATAGGGCTATAGGGCTATAGGGCTATAGGGCTATAAGGCTATAGGGCGATTGGGCCATAGGACTATAGGACTATAAGGCTATCGGGCTACAGGGCTATAGGGCTGTAGGGCTATAAGGCTATTACGCTGTAGGGCTATAGGGTTATTAGGGCTATAGGGCTATCGGGCTATAAAGATATAGGGCACCGGGGCACCCTGGCACCCGGGCACCCAGGCACCCGGGTACCTGGGCACCCGGGCACTCGGGCCCCGGGGCACCCTGGCACCTGGGCACCCCCGGGTAACCAGGCACCCGGCTACCGAAATGGGCGGCCCAGCTCACCCTAGGACCCTTACAGAGGCAAGGTCTTATTGGAGAAAACCATTGGTTTTAGCCTCCTCGGGCTCTCCTGGACGGCCTCTTGGAGGCTAGAATAAATCATGTTCCTTGGGTGTTTCAAAGATTTTCATGTTCTCACCTGTTCGGGTTTCCGACCTCCCAAGACGGTCCAAGAAGCCTCCAAGAGGCCTCGAAGATAGCTCCAAGACAGCTCAAAAGACCCCCGAGAATACCCGACACCAGCTCAAGGGGACAGAAAATCGCCCAAGGGGCTCTCAAGAGGGCCCCAAGACGGCCGTGAATCGCTCCAAGAGGGCACCAATGCTGCCGAGAGAGGCCCCCAAGGCGGCCTGTGAAGGCGTAGGGGCCCCCAAGAGGCCCCAGGAGGCCCCCAATAACCTTTCAGAAACTTCTAGGAGGCCCCCAGGAAGCCCAAAGACGGCCCCGAGAAGCCTGCTACTACGTATTCATCCTCATTGTCGCCCTCTGCTCCTCCTCCTCCTCCTCCTCCTCCTCCTCTTCCTCTTCCTCCCCCTCCTCATCCCTACCAAACGGACGAAGACGAGGTCGAATTCACGATCCGCCCCAATGCGGACTACCAGTCGGAATTGCGCTGTTCCTACACTCAACCTCATTCCTGCTGCGCTGTTGCACAAAGGAGGTGGCGGGATCTGCCGCATGCAGCTGGAAACACATAGAATTTGAACACTTCAAAAAACCGAAACGTCCAACATGCGCAGAACCAGCCACGGAAATACAGACCCATGGAAAAACCTAAAGCTACGCGTTGGGCAGAACCGCATCGTCATGCAATCCCACTCCTTCAGCCCACGTGTCGGCCTTTGGCCGGTGGACCAGAATGCACTCATGATTTCAAGCCATGCGCTCCTCCGCAGTGAACGAGAGGTCGATGAAGCCGTACTGGTCGTCATGGCCATCCTCATGTGGGTTGCTCTCGGAGACGATGCCCCCACCACCGCCAGAGACTATCCACGCCGTTGGCCCGAGAGTGTCCTCGCCCTCCGAATTCTCATCATGGTAGCGCACCTGCTGGTAATGATGGTGGCCGGACACAATGAGGTCGATGCCGTGTCTGAGGGACATGTCCTTCCAGAAAACCGTGCCGTACGACGTGGGGAAGTGGGTGACCACGACCTGCCACTCGGCCTTGGACTTTGCCAACAGGGCCTCGGCCCACCTGGCCTGGTCCTCTCGGGAGCGGCCAAGAGGGGGGTGTCCAAGAGGGGGGGGTGCAAATCATGACCGGCGGCATGTGCGCGGCCCAGCGGGGGGGCCTGGGACGTAATGAAATAAGAAGAGGCACCATGACATCTGGGGAAAAATCGTGGCCCACGACATGATATCCACCCCCCCTAGTCATCACCCCCCTCTTTTCCGCCCCCGATCCTCCCAGAGCCGCGCGAAATAGCCGTGGCAGTCCGCCAGGGACACGGGACCCTGGGGGCCGCACGATGCGCCGGGGGGGTTGTGCTTGGCACCGCAGATGTTGTGCTCCGGGTCCGAGCCTGAGCCCGCAGCGTCGAAAATGTTGCTGTCCATAAAAAGAGCCGCCACCGCGCAGTGGGCACGGAGTGGAGTGATCCTAGGTCCCCCCGAGTTCTCTTCGGCGGCTCGCGCAGGGGGGCAGGGGGAGGGGGGAGGCATCTTAGAGGGAGGCTGCTTCTTGCAAGGCGCCGGCCTTACGTCTACAGATGAGGCCCGCGCCTTCTAAGAAGCAGAGGTGCTTCTGAAAAATCCCCCTCCCCCCCTCGTGGCTGATGTCTGTGCTGAGGAACCCCAGGGACGGGGCCCAGATGCCCCTGGGACGGGGCTTCACGCCGGGGCCCCGGCGTGAAATGCCCAACCCCAAAACCTGAAACACCTGATGTGTTTACCCATCGGTTGCAAGACATGGGAAGAAACATGAAGTAGGAAGGCGTTGAAAGCAGATTGAATTCTGCCCGCCCCCCAAGGAGGTCGGAAACGGTGAAGCCACTCGATCATTGAAGTAGGGAAGGCGCTCAAAGTAGATAAGAAACTGGGATTCCCAAACATCATACTGTCAACGACCGATGGGTGATATTTTCCGCCCCACGATAGATCCCGCTTGTGCCAAGATGGCCCCCGAGACCGAAGAGAGGCCCTCACGAGACGCCCAGCAGGCCCCGAGACGACTCCGCGAGCCCCCACCCCCTCCGCACAGGCCGCCCCCTCCCCCAAACCCCCAGAAGGCCGGGCTCCCAGAAGGCCTCCCAGGGGGTCCTCGAGAGGCATCCCAGGACACTCCAAGGAGGCATCCAAGACCACCCAGGCCCACGACCCAGACGAGAGGCAACGACGGGGGGAGGGTCTGGCGTAGGGGGGGATGCATCGACCTGGAACCGGCGATAGATCGGCGACAGGCCTCCGCTAGGGAATCCACACCTTCCTGGGCAGGTTGGGGCTATCGGGCCCCAATCGGCGATCAGTGGGCGATTGGGAAAGGATGCATCCCCCCCCAGGCCTATCCCCCCCTATCGTTGCCCCTGACCAAACACGGTGATGGGGAGAGCCCCAAAGCTACGAGATACTCGATTGAGAAAGCGGGCACGGCCTCGGGGTAGTGCACCGTGACGCTCCAGTACTGGGCTGGCATCACCCAGCGGCCGGTCCACGGGGGTGGCCTGGTCCACGTGTAGCCGATGACCTGGTCCCACGCCGCGGTAAAGTGGTGGCCGCCATAATCGTGGTTCCCGAGGACGCCCAGCCAGGGGACGTCGTCGATACCCTGGCCAGTGTATATCTTCTCGAACGCCTCGGTGAACTGGCCCGTCTCCACGTACTGGAAAGGCGGCGCCCCGCAGTTGGCGTTGATGCCGCCCCAATAGAAGCTGTCGCCCACGTTCAAGATGTACTTGGGCCAACTGCCGTTGACCGCCCTCTTCTGCATCCGACCTGGCGTCGGGCGTTGCTGAATGGGGGGACGAGAAGCGGGGGTGTGAGGAAAGGCGCACATTTCGGGCACCTTCGGGGCCGAAGGGGGCCCCCCAGGGTCGCTTCCCTGCAACTCTCGACCCCCCCGCCCATGAATCGCCCCCCATTGCGCAACGCCAGATGGCCGATGTTGCGCAACCTGGCCAGGTACGACAGGCTCGTGCGGCGACGACGCGCAGAAACGTGTTTGACGCCGCGTCGATCATTCAGCCTTGAATCGATCGCGGACCCGATCGTTCAAGGTTGAATTCCGTCGGGTCCCGTGGCGTCACCGTGCCCCCCGGTGCATCCGCGTCGCAGAACTCAACCTCTAACGCCTTCGCCGGTATCGCCGGTGCGCCGTCGCCGCTCGAACCTGCTCGTCGGTCCGAAGGAGGGGGCAGAAACATGAAGAAGGAAGGCATTGAAGTAGATTGGGTTTCCGACAGCCCCCCGAAGAGGGAAGAGGGAAAACCATTCGGCTGTTGAAGCAGGCAGGCGACTAAAGCAGACTTGGATCTGGGAATCCAGAAAAACAACATCCTTTCAACGACCGGCTTGTAACGTAGCGGGGCCAATAAAACTTGATCGTCTCGGAGAAACTCTGCGAGCTTCACGGCTGCTCCTGCTCTTGCTCCTGCCCCGTGCTCCTCCTGCTCGGGCCTCCTCCCCACATGCTCCACCCTCATCCTTCCCGCATGTCCTCTATCCTCCTCTCCCTCGTCCCTATTCCTCTACTCCATCCTCCTCACTTCCCCCTCATCCGCCTTTCACAGATTCCCTCCTCCTCCTCCTCCTCCTCCTCCTCCTCTTCCTCATCCTTCTCCTGACCCTCTGCGTCGCGTCTCCTCATTGTGTCCCTCCTCCTCCTCCTCCACCACCTCCCGCATCATCTTCCGTCCCCCCCTCCCATTCACTAATGTCCCTACTCCTCCTTGCTACTCCAGCTGCTCCCACCATCTCCCGCCATAATCATCCTTCTTGTCCATCATCACCCCTCATTGATCATCCCTGCTCCTTCCTCCCTCCCTCCCTCCATCCATCCCTCCTCCCTCTTCGTCCTCGTACCTCATGATACGTGTTCCTCCTGCGGCTTCTCCGCCTCGCCGTCATTCTCCTCCTCCTCCGACGACTCCTCCTCCGACGACTCCCACTGCTGCACTGCCAGAACTACCAGAACCCCAAATGGCTCCCACAGCTTCCGCTCGAACGGATACTCTCCGTGGCAGGCACAACCTGACGAACTCCTCCGCCCCTCCTCCTACCTCTTCTCCGCCCTCATCCGCCCCACTATGCCCCACTTTCTCAAAATCCCTCCTCCTCCTCATCCTCCTCCTTCTCCTCCTCCTCCTCCTCATCATCATCATCAGAATCACAAACAGCATCGCATCAGCATCAGCATCAGCATCATCAGCATCATCAGCATCATCAGCATCATCAGCATCATCATCATCAGCACCAGCAGCATCAGTATAATCATCACCATCATCAGCATCATCATCCTCATCACCCTATGAATCGTCATCCTCATCGAAATAACCATCATCAACATCATCATCGTCAGCATCACCATCATCACCACCGCCACCACCACCATCATCATCGTCATCAGCATCATCAACACCACCATCATCACCATCACCATCATCATCACCATCATCGTCGTCGTCGTCTTCGTCGTCGCAATCGTCAAGACCATCATCATCATCATCATCATCATCATCATCATCATCATCATCATCATCATCATCATCATCAACATCAACATCATCATCATCATCAGCAGCAACATCATCATCATAATAATAACAATAATAATAATAATCATTACATAATCGCCATCTTCTCATTCCTCTTCATACTGTTCCCGTCATCTTCTTCCTCGTCTTCTGCCTCGGATCGGCATCGCGCACTCCCAAGGTCATGCGCAACGAGAGGTACAAACGTCAGTCTCAACGACTGTCGGGCCACGCCCTGAGGCCTCAGGGGAACTTCCATTCGGCAAGAGCTGTCCAATCTCTGCTACCCCAAGGCCTCCTCTGCCTGGGTTCACACAGGGAGACAAGCTTCGGCGACTTCAATAAGTGCGGTTTGCGAAGGGTGCGGTTTGCCTCCCGTCATATCTGCCCCTCCCGCCTCCGGAAAACGGATGACACTGTCACTCAATGCGACCGGATCACATGACACTGTCGCTCCTTCAAACAAAGTGGGGCGCACATCGAGGATGACAATCGCCCGAAACGGCGACAATTATGACATCGTCTCTCACAGAGGCCCCCGGATGGCCGCCACAGAGCAACTCGCAAACCGCACCCCGGCGTACTGCAGGTTCGTGCCGTGTCGACCCTGGCGTTGGTTCCTGACACCGCGCTGGATCGTTCAACCTTGAACGATCGGCCGTCTCCGCAACGTCCAATCGTTCCACATCGACCGATTCTGGGCCGCCGCCGGCGTTCAACGTTGAACGCCGCTGGCGGGGTCGCCGCTGGTCGACACGACGCAAACCTACCGTAGCCCGACGAGCTCGCCGCCCGCGGAGCCCCCCTGGCGAGATCCACGACGGCGCGATCTCTGCAGCGGGGCCGGCCTGCCCCGGGCGGGTCTCGCGCGCAACCAGGCCCAGGCGTGGCCTGGAGGACTGGCCCCCCCAAAAAAACGCACGTGAAACGCCGCCTCCTCCTCCCCTTCCCCCTCCTCCTGCTCCTCCTGCTCCTCCTCCTCCTCCTCCTCCTCCTCCCCTTCCCCATTGGAGACCTTCCTGGCCTGGTGTACGGAACCCGCCGAGGCCTCCTGCAGTGCCGCCCGATCGGCGTTCCTGCGCTAGCTTGACTCGGCGAGCCTGGCAGCCTTGGCGGTGGGCCCATGCAGCTCTGGAGCCCCCCTGGCAACCTCAAGAGCGAACGAATGGAGGTGTTCGAACACTTTCGCGAAAATGCGCATCTCTGGCCAACCAGCTCACCCCCTGCTTGGCCGCCCCATCTACCAGCCCGCAAGCTAGGGGAATCCCGTCCTCTTCTTCCTCCTCCTCCTCCCTACCCTCGGCAAGCCCTGATCGTGTTCCCTACAACAAGACTATCATTATCCTCCTCCGCCTCCTCCTCCTCTTCACTCGGAAACCTTCGGGGAAGAGCGGGAGAAGACAGACAGCTGGCTCCCACAAAAGGGGTGGCGCCACGGGGGCAGGCATCGAAGAAGGCGGGCGCGCTTCTTCGAATGCAGGGGGGATTCTCAGAAGGCCCCAAAAAGGCTTCTAAGAGAGCGTCTTGGAAGGCGGGCGGACGTCTAAGAGGCCCCCTGTCTTCTTGGCAGCCCGCCTCCTTCTTAGAAGCCCACCCCCCTCGCGCCACCCCCTCGCGCCACCCCCTCGTGTCTGGAGGTAGGAAAGGGGTGTGGCACCAAAGGGGTGTGGCGCCGATCGTGGAAGCGGAGATGTCATCTACGACGGGTACATCGCCAGATTCGGCATGGGCACCACACATCCATTTCCTACCTTCAAATTGTGGGCGCCGCCAAGATGTTGATGCTGACTGGGACCGGCCTTTGTGGGCCCCGAAAACGGCAAGGCCGTGTTTTCACTGTTTCCCCAAAAATGCCCATTGAACATGGAAACGGCAAAAAAAACGGCGACCGGAAACGGCAACAAAAACGGCTCCAGGATTGGAACCAGAGCCGGAACCGGTCAAAAAACGGCGACGGAACCGGTAAAAGAACAGCGTCGGAACCGGCAACAAAAACGGCAAAACGGAACCGGTAAAAAAACGGCGCTGTCGTTTCCAGGGCCCACTAAGGTTGATGCTGACTGTGACCGGCCACGCGCTGCTGCGGGTCCAGGTCTATCGGGGGCAGCATCTGCCGCTCCATCTTCCACGCAGGCTTCACCGAGCCGCTGCCGTCGGGCAGGCCGCCCCAGTCGCCGATGACGAACACGTGGTGGGGGCCCTTCACCCAGGGCCGAAGGCCAAAAGAGGCTTCAGGTGTCCGAGGAAGCTCTCAGAGGAGTGGGATGAAGAGGAGGGGGCTCTAAGAGGCGGAGAAGGAGGAATCCTCCTCCTCCTCCTCCTCCTCCTCCTCCACCGTCCGATCGTGCCTTCTTGGAAGGGCAACATTTCATTCAGGGGTTGGACGAGGCGCTAAGTGGAGGAGGAAGAGGAGATCTTATCCACCCTCCGCCCTCCGCCTTTGACCCCGAAGAGGGCGGAGGGGGTGGTCGGGCGCATGCCAGGTGGCTGACTCTTCGAACCCGCGCCTCTCCGCCGAAGCAGGCGTCGTCGAGGACGATCCCATTCAGATCGGTGGCGCGCACCGGGACTGGCGGCTTGACAAACTTGCCTCTCATCGGCAGGGGAGTTGGAGTCACCGCAAGCACCCACAGAGCCTTCAAACCCCCATGTCTGCATCAGGGCGCGGCGGGCTGGCCATCGCTTGGACGTCCATTCCCTGTGCTTTTGTTCGGTTTCGTGGGTTTTTTTTTGCTCAATGATCAGGGATGCTCCTCGATGGCCCTCGCCGAAAGAAGAACATGTACACGTCCGAGCGGTGCCAAGAGACCGCACTGGGGCGCGGTGGGAATGCGAGGCCCTCGGTTTCGTGAGTGTTTTTTCTCGCCAAATGATCAAGGATGCTCCTCGATGGCCCTCGCGGAAAGAAAAATGTGCACGTCCGAGCGACGCCGAGAGACCGCAAGACGGGGCGCGGTAAGCATGCGAGGCGCTCCTGGGCGCCGGAAGGTCCACCGAAGCTGGAGAACTCCGCGGCACGTGGCCCGGGGCCGAGGGGCCAGTACCGGCTGGGAGGCAGGGATCGGCGGTGGGCAAACCTCCCTCTGGGCCTCTAGGACGAGGAGGAGGAGGAGGAGAGGGGACAAGGAGGAGAAGGAGGAACACGAGGAGGAGCAGGAGGAGGAAGAGCAGGAGGAGGAGGAGGAGGAGGAGGAGGAGGAAGGGGAGGAGGAGGAGCAGGAGGAGGAAGAGGAGGAGGAGGAGGAGGAGGAGGAGGAGCAGGAAGAGGAGGAGGAGCAGGAGGAGCAGGAGCAGGAGGAGGAGGAGCCCTAGGGCTCTGAATCGGCGGTGGACAAACCTCCCTTCAGTAAACATCCCCTTAATGAAAACGGCCTAAGACCGAAGCCGACGGACCCGGACCCGCAAAAACGACGGCCGCGGCGCCCTCTCGCGAACCGAAAACGACCAACTCGCTGATTCGCGAATCGACGTGTCAGAGTAGGAAGGCTATCAACCTCCGAAATACGGTTTGACTGTGTGACCTCCAGGCCTTGCATTAGAACCTATCCGGACAAGAACGGGAGGCGCCGCTTCTCTGAGTTTGCGGTGCGCGCGCGCACGGAGGTGCACGCGGCAAGGAATGTGCCCACGCGGGGTGCAAGGGCTGGGCGTCTCGGAACACCGACTGGTTCCCATTGATAGCCATGGTTCGTGGCTGCCCGCAGTTGCTCTCATCGGGTGTTGCGCATGGCTTTGAATACATGAGCGGCAAACCCAGGCACATTTGCCCCTGGCGCCTCGCGCATATCAAATTCTGGCGCGTTTGCCCCATTTATCACCACCCACGCAAACCCCAGTGCGTTTGACCCTGCCGCTGCGCGCCTTGCAGACCCCAGCGCGGTTGGCCCCCCAAACACCACCTACGCAGTGGATCCCGGTACGTTTGCCCCTACCGCCTTGCACATAGCAAGCTCTCGCACGCGCGCACTCCCATCACCGCCTACACAGCAGACCCTGACGCAGTCCCACCTGCCGCCGCATGCATTTAGGGGGCCACACGCGAACCCTACCCCTACCCCCCACCCTCCCCCTCAGAAATCGTGGGGGGTAGGGGTAGGGTTCGCATGTGGCCTCCTAGCATTGCAAAACCCGGCGCGCTTGACCCCTACACAACAAACACTGGTGCGTTTGTTACCGCCGCCTTCTGCGAAAACCCAGGTACGCTTGAACGTGCCGCCGCGCGTATAGAAAACCCTGCCGCGATTTTGCCCCTTCAACACCGCCTACACAACAACCCAGCACGTTTGCTCCTGCCGCCGCGCGCGCGGCAATTCCAGCCTGTTCGGCGCGCCCCGGCGCGCTTGCCTCCGCCATGACCCGCATGGCACACCCCAGCACGATGGTCCTCCGACCACCGCCCGCACGGCAAACCTAAATAAATACGAGTGCTCCTGGAGCCGCGCGCACGGCAAATCCCGGCGCGTTTGGCCCCACCTACCACCACCCACACACAATCCCCGGTACGTTCGACCCTGCCGCTGCGCGCGTGGCAGACCCCGTGGGGTTTGCCCCCCTTCCCAACAGCCCACTTACAGAGTAAACCCCATGACGTTTGCCCCCACCGCCGCGCGCATAGCAAACTCTCGCACGTTTGCACTCCCACCGCCGCCTACACAGCAGACGCTGGCATACTTGCCCCTCTCGCCGCGCACATTTCAAAATCCGACGCGTTTGTCCACTTACCGACGCAAACGAAGCAAACCTCAATACTTTTGCTATCACCGCCGATGCAGAAAATCCCGGTACGTTTGCCCCCACTGCGGCGCGCACAGCAAACTCCAGCATCTCTGCCCTCCTGCCCCAGTCTGCACAGCAAACCCCAGTACGTTTGCCCCAACCGCCACGCGCACGGCGAACCCCAGTGCGATCACTCGTGTATGTGACCACTTGTTAGGGTAGTCGTAACGACTGTTGGCAATACTGGGGCCGTCTTGGATTTTACCATATGTGAACATATCGGTACATGTCGCACTCTGGTTGTATGTGACCTGTCTTGTGTGCGAGTACTTCATGAGGATATCCGCAGCGTAAGTTCAAAAACAACTATCAGAAAGCTGCATTGTGTGCGATGGCGCTGACGACGATGACGATGCTGGTGATGAGGGCGCTGACGAGTTCGGAGACTTTGGGGTCTCTGTCGCGCCGTTTCGAGGCCTGCCAGGAGCGGTCCCAAACCGATATCTGTTCAGAGTTTCCTCCGAAATCAATTCTGGAGGATGTCTACAACGCAACTGATATTTGTAGGTTCAGGATCCTCTCCGAAAACATTTGGTGGACGTTTCGAGCGTGAACTTCATTTTCGGAAGAAGGAGGAGGAGGAGGAGGGGGAGGTGAAGGGGGAGGAGGAGGAGGAGGAGGAGGAGGAAGAGGAGGAGGAGGAGGAGGAGGAGGAGGAGGATGAAGAGGAAGAGGAGGAGGTCACTCCGTACGGTATATTACATGTTTCCTTTGTTATGATGTTGTTCAATTGTTATCGTGGTTCGTGATCTCGTCTCTCCCTTCCCCTCCACATCGGCGTCGGGCATCGTTACTCTACGTCATTCGGGCACTCAACTTGTAGAATTACTCTTTTAAAAGTTCCTGTTCCGCACGGACCTGCCGCCTAATTCGCCATAAATCGTCTAGCAATGCGCCAAGTCGGTTCCTTTGCCAGCATCAGGTGCCACCCGAGAACGCCGCAGGCCCCGCCTCAGGTTTGCCCAACGCCAAACAAGGAGGAGGAGGCGGAGGAGGAGGAGGAGGAGGAGGCACGAGGAGGAGGAGGAGGAGGAGGAGGAGGAGGAGGACGAGGAGGAGCAGGAGGAGCAGGAGCAGCAGGAGGAGGAGGAGCTCTGAGGGCTCTGAGTCGGCGGTGGACAAACCTCCCATCAGTAAACATCCCCTTGGTGAAAGCGGCCTGGGGCCGAAACCGACGGACCTGGACCCGCAAAAATGACGGCCGCGACGCCCTCTCGCGAACCGAAAACGGCCAACTCCTTAATCGACATGTCAGGGTGGGAGATCTGTCCACCCCCGTCTGATCGGGGATCTTCTGACCCAGGTCAATCCAGACCCGGGTCAGCAGGAAACCAAAAACTGCAATGCAGGAACAAAACAAAAACTGCAGCGCAGGTCTTCGCAAACCCGGGTCAGCCACTAGGCGCGGCCGTCTCGCGGCTCGCTGATCCGGGTCAGCCAGAGGGGGCCTTCGCAGGATCCTTCAGGATCCGGCGCCCTGGCTGACCCCCGTCTGACTACCTACCAGACCACCCCAACCCAACCCGAAGACCCGAATTTGTGTTCCATGTGTGTTTTCTCGATGGTCCCCGACCACCCCCCACTGGAAATGGAGGTCAATTTGAGGCCTTCGGGTTGGGTTGGGGTGGTTTGGTGGGTGGACTGTCTGCACTGACCCCCGTCTCGAGGGTCCCGATCTGACGGGCCCCAGCGGGGCTGCGGTGGGGCGGGCTCCGACGTCGGGGAGCCCCCTGGCGCGCGGGAGCGGCGCGCGCCCGGCCCTCCGGCGGGGGGGGGAGGGGCCGATTAGCCTCCCGGGGAGGCCCCCCGCCGAAGGCCGCACACGAGGCCAGAGAGGGGCGGAGCGCCCGAGGTGGGGCGCGAAGAAAGAGGCGGGAGGGGGAGAAGGGGGGGGGGAGGGAGGAAGGGGTGGAGGGGGGGGATGGGGGAGGGGGACGGAGGGGGAGGGGGAGGGCTGGGGGAAGGAGTGGGGGGAGGGGGCGGGGAGGGAGAGGGGGGAGGGGGAGGGAAAATGGGGGAAAAAGGAATCGGAGGGAAGAGGCGGGAAGGAGGAGGAGGAGGAGGGCGGAGAAAAATGCGGAGCGTGAAAGAAGCAAGGGGGCGGGGGGGGAGGAGCTAACCCCCCAGGGTCTTCAGAACCCTCCCCCAATAAGTGAACGTAAACACACACATATGTACACACATATATATATATATATACTTGTCGGCGGCCTTGTTGTCGGACCTGTGTCCCACCAATAACAGAGGGAAACAAGTTAGTTTTGTTTCTCCACGCGGCGCCCGCCAGCGGCGCTCTAAAGGGGATGCTTGGTCCAGACACTTGGTACTCAGAAAACGTGTCCTGGAAACTCCATCCTGAGACGGACTGTTGACGCTCAGGCCCCGCGCGGGTTCTCGGAAAATCCATACTCTGTCTCGTGGGCAAGACAAAACGATTGCGAATTCTGTAGTGTCCACGCCGGAAAAGTCGCCGCGTTGGCCGCGCGTGCCGACCAGGCGCCAGCAGGACTTCTGCCAGCAAAAGCGAACGTAGACGAGCGCGTTCCACTACTCGCAAAGTAGCTACTCGCAAATGGCCAGGATCCCCCGCGGGGCATCTACGATACATAACATCAAGACAGACAAGTGTATTTCGGACGTTTGAGAGTAAGCACTTTGCGAGTAAGGGAACGCGCTCGGTGAAAACGGCCTAGAGCAAACTCGCGAATGAAAAAGAAACAAATCCTGTTGCGGTCCTCGTGAAAAGATGCTCGCAAATCCACCCGCGTGCGCGGTAGCCCACAGTGGAGTTTCACCGCTGCAGAAAGACCCCCCAAGAATACCAAGCCCGACCAAGAATAGAGGGAAACTAATCCCGAATCGCCGCGCGTGCCGACCAGGCGCCAATAGGAGTTCTGCAAGCATCGCGACGCAAACGAGTTTGAACAAACTCGCGAATCAAAACGAAGGAACTTCT